AAGTCATGTACTTACTGCAAAGGGTTACACAGCAGTGTTTAGTGTCAAACTGTTACTGCTTTAGGTCTAGGTGTTTTCAAGCCTTTATTATTACGCAGTGGATAGCCTACCAAAAGTCGGTAGCGGAAAAATAAAAATTATCCTACCAAAAGTTTTTTTTTATTAGTTTAAAAAGATCATGTCACAATAAAACAGCTAAATATATTTATTTTTAAATCATTAGTCTATAAGTTTTTGTAGCATAATGTATAGTGTTAAGTATAAATTTCCTTCATTTTACGGTATAACAAAATAATTTTTTTTTTTAACATGTGATATTCTCAATCAATAAAAAAAAACTTTCGGTAGGATAACTTTTATTTTTTCGCTACCGACTTTTGGTAGGCTATCCACGGCCTTATTATTAATTACTCTGAAAATACATAATAATGTATTTTAATAACATTTTACGCAATATTTTTACTTATGCTCTGTTATATATAAATATTATGTTTCTTAAGTTATGTTATATGCGTATTATATGAACTTATGGTGAATGCTATTGTTGTTGTGATGTTGTTTTTTTGTAATCTTTTGAGTTGATATACATTTGGCTTACCTTCAAGTTTTTGTCTATTGTTAAAAATTATATATAGGACCTATATATCATTTTTAACAATAGACAACAAATTGAGATCTAATAATGAAATTACCTATTAGGTAATTTCATTATTAGACCTCACTGCTTTTAATTATTCACTAAAAACCTAGTACTCTGTATTATATATATTCACTAAAAGCCTACTACTACTACTCTGGTAAATCACAACAGCTTTACTCTATCATGTACAATGATTTCTTATTTTTTGTATGTAATGTTTTTCTTATTTACTTATTTGTTACATTTTTTATTATTAGATTTATTCTGTGGTATAGAAGAATAAAATATTGTTAAGTTTTGTGAATTTTTTATAAATGTTTATTAAAATTTTTTTCAAAGAAATAATATTGAAGTTTGCTAAAAAGGGTTTTACAACAGTTTTTTTTTTAATTTTTCTATATTAGGAGTTTTTATCTTATTAGTTTTAATGCAAATATCTATTTTTTATTATATTATTTTTTATTTCTTTAGATCTAAATTGGAGCAACTACAGACTATATCGCTCCCAGCACCCAGGACCTCTTTCTGAGAGGTTCTTTAATAAATGGTGCAGTAATAATGGTATGGATGAAACCCATTTCAAATGGAGGGCTCATCCATACAGGGGTGCTGGGAGGCACCAAGTAAAAAAAAGCAACAAAAAAATTTTAATATCTTCAATCAGTGAAGATATTAACAATTTTTTTGTTGCTGTTTTTCCTTGGTGTTTTATTTTCATTAAAATAATATATATATTTTAAAGTATGTTTGTTTTTTATTTTTTTTAGTATTTGTTTAGACTATTATTTATAGTTTTTATTACTTTAATTTTTGATTCACAATATAACATGGCTATTATATTGCTTCAAATATATACTATGTCAGTTAAACAGTTTTGAAAAATGTATTACAGCAGTTTATTAACTGTAACAAAAATCACATTTATATTTGTAATATTTTTAAGTTATAATTTTAAACTAATTTGTTGATTTCCAGCAGATTTTATTTCTTTTGATTGTTTTGAATTTAATAATTAAGTGTTTATAACTGCTTTTAACTTATGTAAAGCTTTAATAAATTTAATCTTCTGATTTTAATGTGTAATAAATAAAATATTGAAAAAAAAAAAAAAATAAAAAAAAGGAAAACAGATAAATAATCTTTGATAAACTTTGTCATGTCGCTTATTATATTATTGGCATTTCAGTGATGCTGTTAAATTTTTTCTTTAGAATTTAGAAAAATAAACTACAACCTTTGAACAGTCTTTGTGAAGGTTAAATTATTTGCAGTACCCTTTATCATTAAAATTTTTATTATTATTATTTTTTTTTTATTACTATTAGTTAATTTTTTTATTTATATTATATTTATAAGTTTATTTTTTGTTTAAACATCTTTTAACGGATATATTTATAAAAATGTTTTTATAAAAAACTCACAATATTGTTGTATAATTTGGTTTATTTTAAATGAAAATTTCCTATGTAATGTTTTAAAAATTATTTTTTGTGTGTGCGCAAAGTAAAAAAAAAAAGATCACAATCTTCAAGATTCTTTCAAAATTTTTTGTTACTACTATCAATTAAAAGTGAAGTTTAAATAGATGATATAAGGCTAGAAGTGGCTATTAGTTTAGAAAATGATGGAAATGTTAATAGGCAAGTTGAAAATAATTGTTGCAAAAATGCAAGAAATAGACTGAGGCAAGATGAAATTAATAATCAACCAAATGCTAGATATGCTGCTAGACACGAAAGAATGCATTGTATAGCAAAAAGTAATGTTATTCCAGATTATAATTATTTAGGAGAAATGAATCAAATTTGTCAGCACTGCGGTGCTAAGAAACTTCAAGATGAAATACATTTTCTATGTTACCATAATGGTAAGGTAGCTTTGCCTCCACTTTCACCATTTACACAAGTTTTACAGGATTTATTTACAGGGAGTTATGTAGATTGTAATGCTAATGTTATTTTTTAAAAACATATTCGAAATTATAATACCTGTCTTTCTTTTGCTTCTTTTAAAGCAGATGTAGTTCAACCAATAAATCATGGGCTTCCATGTTTTAAAATATGTGGCTAGATTTATTATTGTGTAGGTAACCTTAGGCCAGATCAAGATATTCCACCAATATATTCTCAACTATATATTTATGATCCACTTGCAGCAGTAAATTTTAGAATGCAACAACGTGGTAATGATTTTTGTTTATGTGATTTAATGTTTCAATTGCAAACTATAATTACTGAACAAAGTCCATTTGCTCTTGCATTTAAAAACATGGCTGAAGTAGAAGATGAAGAAGTTCGTCAAGCAGCTATAGAAGGTCGCTCAGTCTCAGTTGTAAAATGTCTTGAAGGGGATGATAGACATCGCTATAATCTACCTTCACATAATGAAGTTGCTGTTGTATTTGTTGGTGAAGATGGTGCTCCCCCAACTTCCAGGGAAGTTGATATTTACCCAAGAGGTCAACCTATCAAGTATTTCAGCCAACTTAGATCCTATGGTTTATCCTCTCTTTTTTTTCAAGAGGTGATGCTGGTTAGCATAATCAGTTGGTGCATAACATTATAATAGAAATATGTGCAATATGTGAAAGAATTAATTAATATGATATTTTTTAACTGTTTCTATTTTACTTATATTTTTATTTAAATAAAATTTTTCACATTTATTTCTTTTTAATTAACTCTTTTTTTTTTAATGTTTAAGCACCGTCTTCATCATCTGTCACCAATGAAACTGGTGAGGTTATGAATTATATTTATATTAAATAAAATTGCAAGTTTTTATAATTTTTAATAAATATGACATTTTTAACTGTTCCTGTTTTACTTTTATTTAATTAAAAATAAATTTTTTTACATGTTTAACTTTTTTTAATTTACTTATTTTTTTTTTTAATGTTTTAGGCATCGTCTTCTGTTACCGTTAAAAATGGTGAAGTTATGCTTTATATTTTGATTAAATAAAATACCAAATATTCATAAATTTTATTATATTCTTCTATTCGTTATTTTAGATCAATTAACATTTGAGATGTATAAAAAATATCGCTCCCATTGTAATTTTTTTTTCAATTATAATTTTTTTGTTTAAGTTTGTAATTTTTTTTGTTTTTAATTTGTATTTTTTTTTTAATAATATATTCTGTTGTATATTTGATTTGTTTTCGTCTTTTTTAATTAAAATAAAAACTAAATTAAACTCAAAATACAGTTAATTTGATTCATTATCCAATTATTACAGTATAATGATGCTACATTCAATTGTTAAAAATAATATATTGCACTCGGTGCTTTTAAAATTTACTATAAGTCAAGACAATATAGCTATATAAATGTAATTAATTTATATCTCAATTTAATTTTTTATCTTAAATGTTTATAGTTTAGCTCCTTAAAGCATTTTATTTTGATTTTAATTTAAGTATTTCAAATATATTCAAATATATCTTCTAAATTAAACTAAAGTTTACTGAAAGCCAACATTAAATAACGTCATTAAACAACACCGACAAGAACTGCTGAATCATAACAGCAACTGAAGTATGATAACAGGTTACCAAAAGCAGGTAAATTATTTTCCAGTCATTTTTTTTTCTTTTTTATGTCTACTTTTTTTTATGCCTACTTATCTGTTACAACTTTTATTTTAGGTTAGTCATGTGACGCAATATAAAAGATCAAAGTTAAGATTTTTTTTTTTATTTGTTATACACATGTTTGATTGCAAATTATTATATAATTTTTTGAAATGTATTTTTACTCAATTGCTTAGTTATTTATAATAAACTTAGTTATTTTTAATAAATTTATTTAGTTAAGTGCATTTAACGTTGTTAAAATAGCAAATTTTCTTTTCTAAAGAAAAATTTAACCTAAGAGGGGATGCCAAAAGTTAATAAATCCTGTATAATATAAGTTAACCTCATGTTAATCTTAATAAATAATTAAGGTTTATGTTATAAAAAATATTACAAGAACTTAGTTGATATTTTAAAGAATGGCAAAGTGTTATCATTTTGTGTTGAACTTAGAATTGTCGGTAAAAATGGTTCTGCCTAACACTGATACGATCTATGCCAGTTGTAAATTACTCCAATGTGTTAAATAATAATTGGTTAATTATTTTACCTCCTCATACTTAAAATTAACATAATAATGTTAATTTTACCGAGAGATAAATTTGTTCAATTTAAAGGCGTTTTTCTAAAAGGGTATTAGTTAAGAATTTACAACTTTAAATTGTGGAAAACAGCCATTATGAATTAATTATGTAACAGACCGACCATAACTTGTATTACGAGTTACTTTTTGCTAGAAATATTATTATTATTATTAGAAGTATAAATTAAAAAATTTATTACAGTGTAGCTTCGGACAATGCCATTTAGCTGCTTTGGCTCATTCCATCTTAATGAAATATCTCTAGAGGAACTTACATTACCGATAAGATCTTCTGGAACACTTGGAACTAAAACAATATAAATAATTATAAATAATTAATTTATAAGTAATTAATTATTAAATAAGTAATTATTAATTTCAAAGGAATAAATAATTTAATTAATCATAACATTACAAATGTTATTGTTATTAAGCATTCAACTAATTAATTGATTATAACAATGTTGTTGTTAATAAACAATCAAATAATTGATTAATTATAACATTACCAATGTTATTGTTAATAAGCAATCAATTAAGTGATTGATTATAACAATTTTGTTGTTAATAAACAATCAATAATAAAATAAAAAAATCAATAATCAATGACAATAAACATTATTAAAAATTTATCAAAATCTACAATCAGCTATTATTATCAAAATTGTGAATTATGATCATATTTACTTCCTTCAAAAGTTGTTTCATCTACCCATTCACTCCATTCACCATGATTCATTCCATGATTAGTAAGAGCTTTCACCTTAAAATAATAACTTAAATGAAATATTTATTAAAAATTAAAACAATATTAAAAATCTATAAAAACACTTTCATTTTTTTTAAATTATGAACTCTTTTACATATTAATAATTATTTATCTAATAATAATAAAAACATGTCATAAATCTTAAATTTTGAATTCAGCATCAGTAGGACTATAACAGTGAACAAGATTTTTTTAAAACATACAAAAAATATTAATAAGAAACAAAATATTTAACAGTGTAAAAAGTTATATTAATGAATAGACTTCAAAGTCCTTATGAACCAGTTCCTTTTACACATAAAAACATGAAGTGACACATTTACAAAACATATCTAAATGTATTAGTTTATAATCTATACAGAAATAAAAATTTCAAAGAAAAACTTATACAAACCCATTGATTTTAAGATATCAGATACAAATGAAGTTTTCAATTATAAAATATTATCAAATCAACTTTATTTTTGCCATCTTATAAACTATGATTACATCATCTTTATGTCTACCATCTTATAAAATATGATCACATCATATTTGTGTCTACCATCTTATAAAATATGATCACATCATATTTGTGTCTACCATCTTATAAAATATGATCACATTATTGTAATGATTGCCATCTAATAAAATATAATCACATTATATTTATATTTACCATCTTAAAAAATATGATTACATCATCTTTATGTATGTCATCTTATAAAAAATGATCACATCATCTTTATGTCTGGCATCTTATTAAATAAGACTATCAAAATTCCCATTATAAATTAATATACAGAATTATGAAGAACTTGCATTAATTGTTTTAATGCAATAAAATCAAATATGATAAAAAGAGGTTTAAATGTATTGTTAAGCCATGATACAAATATCAAGCGGTAAAAAGAATTCTTATTGTCTCTGTAAAATGTGAAAAAACTCTTAATGTTCCTGTGTAACTTGATGTTTTTTTAAACATTTCAGACCTATACTACCGTTAAAAAAACAAAACGAACTTGTAAAGGAAGTAGTCTACTAGTCATAGTCTCAAAAGAAAATTAATTAATAATAAATTAATAAATTAGAAAATAGCTTACTCAAATTTATCTTTTATTTAATCAAAACAGGGTGGTTAATAAAATTATTTAAAAACTTTGGCATATAAAATTTGCCGAATGGTCACACACGAGCAGTGAACCCCTAAGGGAAGAAGTGAAGTACATTAGAATAAAGGAGAATTGTTTATTAGACAAAGCATATTTTGACAGTTGTCAAGACAAAAATAAAGATTAATTAGAGGAATATTTAAAAATAAATAAGACAGGCTATACACCCACAACAATAATAACAATAACAATAAATAAAAAAAAATAAAAAAATAAAAATTGTTCTATAAACACCAATATGAACGAAGATATATATCACCAGACAAAAACTTGTAAAGCAAAAAACGGATCACAAAATAAAAAATCTGATAACAACAATGAGAGGCATTTAATAATGGAAAAAAAACATTAATGCTAATGTGTAAACATAATTTGGGTAGTGATTAAGTAATAAACATCTCCTCAGAGTCGCGTCTATTATTACTGGCGTTTCGATGAGGATCAGCATTTATTACTAGTTTATCCCGTCAGACAAACGTCAGTCATCGCCACTTATGCTTTACCCCGCGACTTACGCCTATTCCATACTGCAGTAAAAAAGGACTCACTACAAATAGCCAAAACTCAACCAACCCCAAATTTGTAAAGCACCAATTTCATAAATTTATTTTAAGAAACAAATTTATTTTAAATAATAAATTAATAAATTAGAAAATAGCTTACTCAAATTTATCTTTTATTTAATCAAAACAGGGTGGTTAATAAAATTTGACACTAGGCTTCAATTTTTTTAGAAAAATTGATTTCAAAATTTTTTATTTTTTTGTGCAACATTTTTTTACCTGTGCATTAAGTGTGTTGTGTTAGCTCAATGTGATTTTAAAGATGTAATGTTGCACTTAAGATTTAAATTAAAGGTGGTTTCACAATATTGATCTTTTTTATACAAAGTAGTAACAACTGCCACCGTTGTATAAACCTTGAAATGTGAATAAAGAATTTACAAATTTTTGTTGCACTAAAATATTGTTTTAAAATATTTTTTTAAAATTTTCAATTTTAAAATCAGTATAGGTCAATATAGTTGCGTGTTATTAGTTAAAAAATTATCATAATTCAAGAACTTATTTTAAAATTTAGCTGCGCTTTAGGTAATTTATGTAAGCCATATTAAAATAGTAATTGCATATTCTTTAATGGAGTCATCATCAAGTTTTAAAAAACTTAAATAAGTTAATTGCAATGCTGTTAAACAATTCAACTGTTGGACAATTTATAATAAAATCCTGACTCATATATAGGAAGATTTAATAAAACAAATCACTTTTCTGATCTGATTCAACATTTTAAAGCTTAAAGCAAGGACCAAAAATCCCTTTTAATAAAATCCCAAACAGTTGATTTTTTTTAAATATAAATGTAATAAAAATGATTGACTGGCTTTCTGGTCATTTAGCATTAAATGAATTATTTAGAAGTTGTGACAAACTGGTTGGTGTACTAACTCAGGACAAAAAAGCATCATTACTAAGTTAGCTTTGGCTGACCTTTAAAATAATCAACTGACCTTTGAGTATTTAACATCATCTGAAAAATATTACTTAAAAGTTACTATTAATGTTACTTCAATGAGACAAAATTTAAATAAAAGTTTCAAAAATAATAAATCTATTTTATAAAAAACTGTGAAAATACATAACTATTTCAAAAAAATATTTAAAAATAAAAGTTTTTAATAATAATAGTTATATAGATATATAGTTTTATATAGATATATAGTTATATAGTTTATTAATAGTTATATAGATATATAGTTATATAGTTTTTAATAATAATAGTTATATAGAATAGTTACTATTTTTGAAATTTTTATAAAATTTCTTAAGAGTAATAGGTTAATGTAATTTTGAAGAAACTATTTTATAATAAAATAAAATAAAAAAATTTAAGGACCTAAAAATATATTGTGTTCAAAATTTTTAATTTAGTGTTGTTTTATTATATAAAACAAACTTAGGGGTGTAACAGGAGAAAATTTCAAAAAAAGTAAAAATTTCAAAAAAAGTAAAAATTTCAAAAACAATTTTAAAATTTCAAAAAAATACTACAGATAATATGTATCTAAAGATGCAACTTTGTACTATCTTCCTGATAAATTTTGTGCAATTTAATGCTAAAAACAATCACTTAAATTTTTCAGAAAATTAAGAAGAAACCAAAATCAATCAAAAAAACAAAATAGATAATGCCCTAACCTACACCCCCAAGTCGATGTAGTGAAACTACCTACCTAGATTGTCAGTCAATTTATGCATTGAATCCTGAAGCTACTTATTTCAGTAAGACATTAATCTAACGCTGCTATCTTATATATATATATAGATATATATATATATATATATATATATAGATATATATATATATATATATATATATATATATATATATATATATATATATATATATATATATATATATATATATATATATATATATATATATATATATATATATATATATATATATATATATATATACTCATTCCTTTTGTTCAACAGGTTTCCCCCTGTATGCGTTAAAATAAAATACTTTTCATTAAGACAAAGATTGCAAATTTTGGACGAAGGATTATATGTTTGGCAGCGCCTGATAATTTTCCATTTAGTAACAAACGAAAAGTTTTCTTCTTTAAGTTTCCAAATTTCTTTAGATAACTCCGTATCATGTCGCTCCACTGTATTTTGTAATTTTATTAACGGTTTGTTTGTTTTTGATATAATACATGGCTGATGATTGCCGTATAGGCATGAAACTATTAGTCCCATGAAAAGTTGTTTTTTCTATATGTAAATAAAATATATATATATATATATATATATATATATATATATATATATATATATATATATATATATATATATATATATATATATATATATAACCCTAGGAATTAGGATCGACATTTGGCAATGCCAACTGCCAACCTACAAGTGTTTTTGGTGAGTTAAAAATTGCAGACCTCATTTTTATGTTTTATGGTAACCCCTTTGTGACAAACGTTTTTTGCAAATCTGATGCCAACCTTTAACAGGTTTGTGGTCGTTAATTTATTTCCAACCTCAGGGTTCAAATCACAAATTGTATCTGGAAATGCTTCTGGTCTTTAAATTTTTAACTTAATAAAAATTGTAAACCTTTGTTTTGATCACTGAAGCTGTTATTCAATAAAAAAAAATATTTATATTGATCTTGAACTATCTTATTTTAAAATTTATTTAAACACTATTTATATTATCATTTTTATCATTATTAAAAATTTAAATTTTAGTATTTTAATTCATTTTATAAATCATCAGATAAAACTAGAAAAATAAAGCTCAATAAAATATGATATAATTATTAAAAAACAACCACTAATCTTAACAATTTACAGGATAAATAATTATAATAATTATAAATATTTGAAATATTTTAAATAAAAGAAATCGTTAAATAAGATATAAAATACTTTTTATTTTATTTAAATCTTATTCAATATTTTCTCATAAATTAAATACTCATAACTTTTTTGCAGATATACAAAACTAATGACAGAGGAGTTTAAAATCTAATTTAAACTTTTTATAGTATAATTATAACTAACTTTTACTTTTTAAAGCAAAACAAAATAACTCTAATGATTTATATAAAAAAATTTTTTATCATTATTTTTATTATCAATTAATTTTTAATTTAAAACATTTAAATTTTTAAATAATTCCTTAAACATTCCACCTAAACAAAAATCTATATTAATGTTCTATACAATGCACAAATAGCTTTAGCATTATTTTTTATTGGTTGATTTTTAAATTACCACCCATTTTTTGGGCCTATAGATCAGCAAACAGTTTTTGCTGACATTTTTTTCAATCTTAAATGTACCAATATAGGCCTAGTAAGCTTCAATAGATTCAAACTTACTTTCAAAGTTTTCATTGCAAAAGAAATTAACTTGGGTGAAATATTATTTTGATTAAAATACAAGTAAAAAAAAAACAACACTTTTTTGAGTACTGGTCATACTTACCCTAAATTCATATTTCTGATAGTTTTTCAGTTGTTTAACTTGAGTAGTAAACGCTGGTGTATCAAAATGTATTTTAAAAGTTAAAATAGTAAGTGAAGTAATGTTTGATGAATTAAACTCTTTATATTCAACAATGTAATTAGTGATGACTCCATTAAAAGTTTCTGGATGATGCCATGTCAAATTGATTTTTTCTTTAGATATTGCAGAAGCAGTAAAATTTCTAACAATAGATGGATCTAAAATTAGATAACCATAGAAAAATTGAAATAAAGTATAAAAATGAGAAGTATCAGATAAATACAGTTATTTAATAAAAATCTATAATAACAAAAAAAAATATTTAAAAAAAAGTTAAGAAAAAATATTTTAAAAATAAAGAAAATATTACATTAAGCCAAAGGAAAACTACTCAAATAAAGACAATGCACCTAATTCAATATTGTTGTATTTTTATTATTTTGAACTAATTTACTCCCAACAGGATTGCAAGAAACCACTATTCAAGTTACCAAGCAACCACTATTTAAGTATTTACCACTATTTAATATAATATATTTAATATTTAATATATATAACCACTATTTAATTTAAGGAATTACCAGACAACAAAGAATAATGTTAAAGAACATAAAAAACATTAATAGAAAGCTTAATAAACTGTAAATTGTAGAAGTTGGGGAAAAAATGTGCGAGGAAATAAACTAGATAAATTAAAAATTTTATAACACGAAGGAATAAACACAGTAAAAGAATACAACTTTGCTGAATGAGGAGCCATGAGAAGTTGATATTTGGTTAATGAAACAAAAGATAGTGTTTTCTACATTTACTATTATGGTTGTTGATAACTTGACCAGCATCCATTGGGAGTAAATGTAGAAAAAAGAAAAAGATGCAACCTCACAATAATGGAACAGAGGTTCAATCTTGGCAGGTAGACATTTACAATATGTCTTTGGACTAGAAAAGTAGGGGATCATTAAAAAAACCAACCCCCAAAACCACCCTGGATCCTAGAGATTGCTTAGAAGTAACAATTATCAGCAGAGAGATAAAAGACATCAGCCTAAAAACTGTCACAAAGAAAATCATGAAACAAAATTCCAGTCAATTAAAGATAGTAGTAAGTGGTGTAATGATAGAATGAGTTCAAAGAAAAATTACGAGATAAAAGACTTATAGAGATCATCGCATAATAAGAACAACCTAAAGGAAAACAAGGATAAACTAAACACAAGTTAGGATCAGAGACAAGACACATATCAATGAGTAAAGGCAAGTGATTAGGAAAAACGAGTCACAAAGTTAACTATCTAAGTAATAAGTTTAGAGATTCAAAAATTTAGTACCAGCGGGACCGAATGATACTAGAGCCAAACCATTTAGTGTGAAGAGCATTAAAGTCAACTATAACAACAATATTGGCAGAGAAATAAAGGGATTGGTCAATTTGATCAGAAATAACATTGAGAATGAAAGAGAACAAAGAGAAAATTAATTGAGAGAAGAGGTGCAAAGTAAAAGCACATAAATAAGCAGAGGATTTAAACCTGATATCATGGTAGATAGGTAAAAATTTATATCCAGACCAAGCATGTGACTATTGGAGTTGTGCTGATTATGTAGTTTTAGTGTTATGTTCTCCTAATTTCAGTTCAGTTTGCACAATCTTTTTATTCCAACTTGCTTTATCTCAGCTATATTAGAAAATAAGCAAACATGAATGTTTAGTAAAACCATATTGTCATCCTAACAAGATAATTACCATCGGAATACAAACATAAAACCCATTGATGGACATAATAATTGATTGCTGTAGTGCATCATCAATAGAGTCATGCTATTCTTTAAGAGTTGTTGATTGACTTATGCAGGTACTGCTGCATAGTGTTTTGCAGCAAAATACATTTTAAAGTCCATAAAAAGCCATCAATGAATAGCCTTAATTTATGAGACATTTTTACCTTCAGTAACTCTATCGCTATGAAATTTAATTTTATTTAATTTTGATGATTCAACAAGTTTATTTAGATGATTCTAGAACAATAAGATAAAAAGCTCGTCACTGTGTCTATAACTTGTTGTGATGTCCAAGTTTATTTACAAAATATGTCAAATAGACTTTTTCTACAAAATCTGTAATTAGTTACTCTGTAATTCTGTTGTTGCCCTAAGATCACTGTAACCAAGCCAACAATTATAATTATTTTCTTATTTTTCTAAAAGTTAATGTGAATTTCTGTTTCTAGTACCACACAATAATACGTAAGTTGACAAATTAATAATAAAAGATGTAATTAAAATTTAATAAAAATAAAAATTTTAAACTTAAATTCTTTATCATAATATATTAAACAAAAGATATTAAAGAATACTTAAATTAAAAAATTGTTATCAAGCAAACATACACACACAAAAAAAATAATATTCCTCATAATATTAATCTTTTTCCTTTCTATTAATTACACCAAAACATGCATTAAACCAATGTCTAAAAGTGTCAATGTTACTACATCATTTCTTGTACCATATCACAATTTATTTATCATATCACAATATATTTATCATATCACAATATAGGGGAGAGCGGGGCTAAATAACCTTAACAAAAAAAGGTGCTTTAGTTACCTTGGCATGTGCTGGCTCTGCTATTGGTAACAGTACTCCCCCTTTTTTGGTATTTTCGATAGTGATTTTTAGTGACCATTTTTAAATTTCTGCACCACTTGGCAGTGATGGGGGCGCGAATCCATCTGGTTGGATGAAGGAAGACACATTTTGTAAATTTCTTATTCATAATGCAAAGAATGCACAACTTTCAAAGAAGCATCCAGGTTTGTTACTGGTTGACAATCACTTTTCGCACTTATCATTAAATACGTTAGACTATGCGAGGCAAATGGAATTGTCATGTTAAGTTTCCCACCTCATTGCAGCCACAAGGTACAGCCACTAGATAAAACTGTCTATGGTCTTTTTTAAAAAGCTGTAAATACAGCTATCAACAGTTGGATGGTCAGTAACCTTGGAAAAGATTTGATCATTTATAATATACCAGAAATAGTGAAGGTTGCCTTTCCATTGAGCATGACGCCAAATAATATTCTTCATGTGACATCGAACCATTTAACTCTCAAATATTTACAGATTTGGACTTTGCTCCAAGTTCAGTAACAGAAATACCTATGCCAGTCAAAACCAATTCTCAATTAACAATGCCTCAACCTTCAAAGGTTGCAGTTTCACCAAAACAATCCACTTTTGCTTCGAGTTCAACTTTGTCATCACAGGAGCCTTTAACATCTCAAGTTCTGTGCTTGCAATTTTAGATAAAGTAAGGCCATTACCAAAGGCACTAGAAATCCTTCAAAAAACACAGGCAAGAAGATAACTTCCTCTATATTGACTGATTCCCCTTTCAAAAATTATGTGAAATCATAATAACTACTGCCAAAAAAATGTTAAAGTTTTGCTAAGGGAAAGGGAAAAGGCAAAGCAACAAAAAAACACACACAAGACTTATCATTATCATCAGATGAAAACTACTGTATCAATTGCATGGATACTTGGACTAATTGCAGAGATGCTGAAAATGGATCAAATGTTGTGAGTGCTCAAGCTGGGCACATGAATGAATGTACAACCGAAATGAAGAATGTACAACCGAAAGGTATATTTGTCATAATTGCAACTCTGATGATTTTTAATGGTCATTTTCAAAGTGTTTTAGTGCATAAATTATATGTTATTTTTAATAAATTATAAATAATTAATATAATACTTGTTTTCTTTTTGAAAATATTTTTTTTTACCTTTTAGACTTACACTTATAATTATGACGACTTTCCCCTTTTATCATGACAAATTGCCCCAACAGTGAGGTAAGTTGTCATACCATGGAGCCTTCTTTAGAAACGGTGGCATATTATACTGAAATGGTCTGAAGCGTTCCAAAGTTGTTTTTTAAATAACTATAATGATAAACTACCATATAGAATAGTTTATATGAAAATTGACCAAATTGGTTTTTGAAATATCTGGAAAAATATAAAAAGTATGACAATGTGCCCCAATCTCCCCTACATTTATCATATCACAATATATGTTTATCATATCACTATATTTATCATACCACAATATACATTTATCATATCAAAATATACATTTATCATATCGCAATATACATTTATTATATCACAATATATACTTATCATATTACAATACACATTTATCACATCACAATATACATTTATCATATCACAATATACATTTATTGTATCACAATATATACTTATCATATCACAATATATTTATCATATCACAATATATTTATCATGTCACAATATATTTATCATGTCACAATATATTTATCATATCAAAATATATTTATCGTATAACAATATATTTATTATATCACAGTATACATTTATCAAATCACAATATATTTCTTGAATTAAAACAATTTTTTCATAATTATTTAAATTGTTTTACGTAATTAAATCTGTTTCAATAACGATATCAATTGAAACAGGTAGTGAAAAATGTGTCATTAATTAATTTAATTATTTAATAAAATAAAAAAAAATTAATTAATGAACTTTTAAAATATTTGAAAAGTTTTATTTCTAAAAACATAACACTTACTTCCTTCAAAAGTTGTTTCATTTATCCATTCACTCCATTCACCAGAGTTTAATCCGTGATTAGTAAATGCATTTACCTAAAAAAAATAAACTTCACAGTATACAAAAAGTATGTATAATTCAATAATGGTCATCAATAGTATACTCAAATAAATATCTAATAAAAATATGCTATTTTATTTTTATTAAATTCACCTCCCCAAGGGTCTAGAGAGACCAAGCAGGTTGGAGCACAGTCAAGGAGGCTACTTTTTTTAATTTTGTTTTTAACTCTCTTTCAATCCTAAACTCCAAAACACAAAATTTGTTTAATTAAGACGCTGCGCAGTGGATCGCAGTGGAGCGCAGAGCTTCAAGAGGAGCAGTATGAATTTGAACCTTGAAAAATCTTGGTTGTAAGCAGAGTGTCCTACCACTAGACAACTACTGCAATAGTAGACTAGTGGCAGTAGATCTTTAATTTCAATGTAAAAAAATAATGTCAATCAAATTATCCTATGTAAAAAAATCATCATCATTATCATTATCACAACCATCATTATCATCATCTTATGATCATTGCAGCTTAGCTTCTACATTTATGAATTTTGAATATAATGAAATAATGATTTCATTATGAATTCAAGATTAAATTCATGATTTATTTGTGGATTGTATTTCTATTTATATTGTTTATGATTATCTTTCTATTTTTATTATTTCTATTTTATCTATAAATTATTGCTTGATGGTTAAGTTAGTTAGCCCCTAATATTTTTAAATCCCTCCTCCAAGTCTACCCAGTCAATCAATGCTTAAATCATAGTAGCTCATTAACAATAACAGATTGTAATACCTTTACATTTAAAATATATTTACAAAAATACAACATAATAACTCTTGGTACCATATAGTAAGTTATAACAGAAATGGAAGTTGTGATTCATTTAGAGTAACTTATATTTTTATAAATAATAGTGTCAAGTTTGACTTATAATTTCTGCTTTGTTTGTATTTCAGAATTATAGGATTGAGAAAGAGTTTAAAAAAAATTATAAAAATTAAAAAACATTTAATCAAATTAATAAGATTAAAATCAAAAAATTGTTTAAATTTTTTATTTGAATTATTTTAAAATTATTATTTTTTAATATTTTAAATTTAATTATTTGGTAATTAAATATTAAATTAAAGACTTAAATTTTAAATTTAATATTTAATATTTAAGATTTAAAGTTGGTTTTTTAAAGATCTTTAAAGAGTAAATAGCTCTAGCCAGTCACCTTGCTTGATGCATAGGTCCAGGACATTTGATTTTAATTTTTTTCTACCTAGGAAAATAACAGATGGTTCAATCAATTCCTGATAATCATCACATACAATAGTTTTTTCCAGTTCTCGATTATAAAATGTCAACAATTCTTCAATTGTTGTATTACTAAAACGTTGTTTGACAATATTGGTGTATGCTTCAATAGATTAATAGTTTTCCAGCTGTCTTTAAACTTTTTGAACATTGGGATATCAGGGTTACATGTGACTTGGCAGAATTTTGTTTTAAACACATTTTAAAACCAGTTCATAAAAGTGATGGTGGCAAGCTAAAAGTAGTAATTCCCTGTCTAGTTTTTGTTTCAAAAGTACACAAGCTCCTTATATGTGTTTAACACACTTTATGACAGGAACCCTGATCTTGGCTGAAAGAGCTTTTCAGTTTGAGTACAACCATCAGTTGTTCTGTTTCTCTAAATGAAATTAAAACTGCCAAACATTCTTCTTTAGAACTTCTAATTTCCATTCCAGGTAATAATTTCCAGTAAATGTTCCTCTTTTTGTAGTTTCAAAGGTTTGAGAGGTTTATGGTTAGAGTTCCTCAGGGCTTTCATCAGTACTGGTGTGTTGATCGTAATGTTCTTGCGTTTGAATAAAATTTTGTGTGGTAAAAGATGACAATAAACTCCCAAAACAGATTTGTTTATGTCTTTTTTTATCTTCTTTTAATGTTCTGCCAAAATATAATGTACTCTTGAATGACAAGATTTGTGCATTTACTAACAGTCTTTTAACTTTGCAGTTTAAAAAAGTACTTAGTGGTTAGACGATAATTTTGCACCTGATAATATCGCCTTAAGCATGTTATTTGATAATTCAGCTAAGAAATTTTTTTTCATTGCTTCTTAATTCCAATGCCACCTTTTAAATGTAAAAAAATGTGTGTTAATCACAAGAATATTTAAATCAGGGTTTTCTAAAAGTGTGGTTTTTTTCTAAAAGTGCAGCTTAATGCGATTTTTACAATGGCAAAAAAAAATTTCCTTTGTGAATATTTAATATACTCTGATTTAACTGAGATTTTTTTTTTTTGTTAATTTTCTTCTTTTTTATGGTAAATTTAATCATTTTGTATTTATGATTAACATAATTAAATTTATGAAATATAAAAAATTATAAGGAATCGGTCTCGTTTTCAATTAAAAGAAAAAATCATCAAAATACTTCCAATATAACAAAGTATTTTACATGTGTAGTGTAATAAAACTCATATAATTCCATATAATTCCATATAATTATATACATATAATTATATACATATACATAAATATATATATATATATATATATATATATATATATATATATATATATATATATATATATATATATATATATAAACATGCTTTAAAAAAGGAAAAAATATAATGGCAGCAAAAGAAAATACAAACATTAAGTTAAGTGTGTTTAATAAGTGGGACATTTAAAATATTTTTGGCTGGAAAATAAATAATGGAGACTATTAATTTCGTTTGGTGTAAGATATGTGCCAATCATTCAAGTAAATTTCAAGAAAACAATTTTCTTCTGATAATTTTACAAATGGAACCAGCTTAATAACTAAACACACAGTATAAATCACTTGATTTTACTATTATCATATTTATCCCAAACTTCAAAGATCTTTAAATACATGTTGTAGTTTAAATCTATCTTGTTTATAAAAAATATTTTGTTTTGATAGGCAATAACTTTCTATTTTCTTTTTTGTAGATTCAACGCCATCTTGCAAGCAAAACACACCGGAAAATGCGCCAGAAATTGAAAAAAGAAAACTGAAAGAAGATTGTATTAAAAATGTAAAAAAAGGTTCCATATGAACTTCTATTTCCTCTACCAAAGAAAAGGCCAGTCATGATGCTTATCAAAAGCTTATAAATACAGCATATAAATTGGCCATCAATCCTACAAAAAGTCTCAATGGCTTTTCAGTATTTAAAGAAATCCAAAAAAAACGTTGTACCATTAATTTCAGATATTTTTGTAACTAATTTATGTTAATGAAAATTTGTCTTTTTTTAAGTGTGTATAAAGTTATTGACAAATTATAAAATTACTTTTGTTTCTCTAAATTTAATAATAAATAAAAATTAATTTTAGAGAGCTATCTCTATTAAAATAAAAATAATTGCAATCTCTAATATTTTAGGAACTAGTGATGATCGAGCTGCAAAAAAATTTATCAGTTCTATTTACTCTCGAAAAGAGCAATTTGATTTTAAGTCAAAGTCATTTTTACTATCAGATGGTTCGCAAGCTCACAAGACAGGAGTAGATAAGGAACTAGTATTGCTAAAAACTACCTTGAAAGGGGTATTCATTTTAATAAAACTTTCAATTTAGAACATGTCCATTTTAAAAATAATGTTAAAAAGCTTTTAAACCTAATTACTTTTTAGGTTACCAGTCACAATGTTTGCACATTGGATAGACAGTAAGGACTATGGTGGAACCAATGTTGCTTCTTTAAAGCTTGGCATCAACAGCATATTTGATGAAGACGGACCTTTGCCATGTGTCACATTTAGGGAAAAATTGATCAGTTGCACAGATGATGGTGCTAGTGTTAACACGGACCACAAAAAACTTTGCCAAGACGGTGATTGCCCTTGGTTGGTACCAATACATTGCATGAACCATCTAGTGGAATTAACTGTTAAAGATGCATTCTTTGGATCGTCTTTTAAAGATGTTGATAGGATTTATGAAAACATTTTTTCCCTATGCAAGTCTTCAGGAGTTATAAAAGAGGAAATTACAAAAGCAGCTGAACTGCTTAATATAAGTACTTATATCTTTCCTAAATCGAAAGGTATAAGGTTTATACCGCATAGTCGCACAGCTATTTATAGCCTTCTCAATATGTGGCCAGCTACTATCATGGCATTTGAAAACACTCTGGCATCCAAAAAGGGTAAAAATGAAACCATAAGTAAAATAAAGGGGATCCTAAAACAACTCAAACCTTATAAAGTAACTTAGATGTCCTTGAAAAGGTTTCTCCTCTCTCCAAAGTATTTGACGATGATGGCCTGCTACTTTTTGATTTGAAGCACTTAATATATCAAACTTTAATGGAGCTAGGTGACCTTTTAGAAAGCGCAGAAAAGCCGGAGGAGTTGTTAAGCAGTTGTTTAGATTGCTTTAAAATTGATGCAATAGAACCAAATAACCTTATTTCTTATTTCTATAAGTATGGTCACATGCTAAAATTACCTGCTAACCATGAACATACTGCAAATATTCAAGAAAATTTTACTTTTTTAAGTATGCTATCAATAGAGGAAGCCTCCAACTTGTTGGAAACTTTAAAAACTCAATTTGAATGTTTTAATGATCCGGTATTTGCAAACATGGTTTGGATGGACCCAAGAAACTGGTTAATCAATGCAAACCCAACATACGACAATGACATGATTGAATACCTGTATAATTATTTTAAAGTAAAAAAACGAGCACTTAATATATATTTTCGACGAAAAATTCAACTTTTGATGAAACTCGTCGAAAGTTGAAGATTAATGAACATATACCAATAAGTCAATTGCTTTCAGTCGTAAGGTAAATTTCAAACGGAGAAGACTGATATATGTGTATGTGTATATATATATACACACACACATAAATGTGTGTTTGTGTGTGTATATACACACATATATATTAAGGTGATCATGCTGCCCCATAGTTTTTAAATTTTTGAGTAAACGAGCCTGACTTTTTTTTGGTGAGGAGGATACTTTTAACTAAGAACTAGGAAAAATTTGAAC